CCCAATCCTCTGTCTTTCAGATTTGTTGTACTGTGAGTACCAAAAGCAGGGTGGCTATGGTAGCTGGAGTACATGTGGAGGCCACTAGGTTGGAAAAAGCTGTGCTAACAATCTTTTTCAACAGTCTCCATCAGTGTTCACCAACAAATCCTGTTTGTTTTAAAGGGCCTGCTCTAATTGGTGCTAAAATTGGGTTTAGCCTGGTTTCCTCTCCTTGTCAAAATGCAAATTGCAAACTTCTCATTTTCAGATATGGACATGGATGGTGCCATTAAACAAATGTTTACAGAGACTAATACTGCGTCTGACATATAAAAGTTGAAGTTCCATGCATGTTTATCTGGGAGTAAGTAGTGCTGAACCCAGTGGGACTTGACCCTGAGTAAATATGCATGGAATTATGTCATGAATGCTGCCTTTGCATCCCTTTTGCACAGAGCAATTTGCACAAACCCTTTGCCAAAAATATCAGTCACAATTATCTGCATGTTTACCACAAGAGGTCAGTGTATACTTGTATGGTTTTTAAAAATTCACATTAGTCTAGTGAGTGACACACTCTGAAGTTCCTGAAGAGATCAAAAATTCAGAATGTATAGAATTCAGAATTCATATACCTTTATATGCATTTATATGCCTTTCCGGATGCCACTGTGCTTAGATGTCTTCATTCTGAATCATTGCTTGAACATGTGTGTATAATGCTGCATTGTAAAATGGATAAGCTTAATGAAACTCAGGTATGGCACTCACATCGCTTGCCTGCTCAGGCACACCTGGTAAGCTTGGGAGATGCCCTTGGATATACAGTTAGGCCTATGCTTTGCTCCTTTCAGACAACTCTTGGCAGCTCAGAGCAATGAAAACCATCCCAAAGTATAATGACCTTCTAAAACAGCTGTGATGTAATCAACTCAATCAGATGCTGCAGAGGAAACATTGGATAAAAACCATAAAGTAAAGGCCCCTGCAAGCAATAAGATCTTTCCTCTACTATGAACTGCTTTAAAGGAGGCTTCCAGTCATGCTTCCTGTGGTAAATAATTCCGCAATTTAAATGTGGCTGTTGAGAATTAATGCAGAGTGAGCATTAGTTGTCATACTGATAACTCCTAAGGGACCATCACTGGAAGTTGTATATATCTACACAGTTGCAGCTGTGACAACTTTTTTGGTCATTATTTTAATAGTCAAGTCTCCATTGTTCAGAATTCTGGAACTTTTAGACTGACATTCAACTGCATGATTTATGGATGAATACATCATCAGCTGCAGTAGGGTTTTTTTTGCAAATTATTTCCAATTCCGCCTTAAAAATCCTGAGGCTTCTGTAGGCTCCTGTTCATCTGGAGGAAGCAGCTGGGGACCATGATATTGGGAGGAGAGTCTTTAATTTTTTTAAATTGCTACTACTGGTGAGGTCATCCCAGGGACACTTTTTGGAAATTAAAGACTATTCCCCCACAAATCCTATGGGGCTGAGCAGCTTCCCTGTGATGAAAGGGATCCCACAGGAGATGGGGAAGGGAATCAGAAATGTTTTATTTCTTAAAATTCAGCATGGATTATGATATGCTGTGTAATTTATGCACTGTAATTTACCACAACAGGATGTAAACCTTGGTTTGGAAAAGTACCTAGAATTCCTTCCCAGACAGCTCCCATGCACACCCTTGAACTACGCAGTGGTTCTTAACCTTGGGTTACTCAGGTGTTTTTGGACTGCAACTCCCAGAAGCCTTCACCACCAGCTATGCTGGCTGGGGTTTCTGGGAGTTGCAGTTCAAAAACACCTGAGTAACCTAAGGTTAAGAACCACTGAACTACAGCAGAGATATCTGTTTCCTTCACCAAACTATCAATCCCAGAATTGTATAGCACAAAGCCATAACAATTAAAGTGCTTTAATCTGATAAAAGTGTGTGAATTGTAGATGCACAATGAAGTAGAATTAGTCAACCATCCTTCTTCACTGTGCATTAAGATGTCTTGAGAAAAAAAAGCCACCTGCCCACTTGGGACACAATTTTTGCTCCAGTGAACTCACTTTCTGCCGTTCTTTTTCTGCTGTCCTTTGTCTTATACAGGAATCACTTCAGATTCTCTGTGAAGAGGGAGCTTTCTTAAGGCATGTGTACCAGTGGCACCCACAACTTTGCCCAGTTTCCTGGCAGTAAGTTACATCATAATCAGGTATGATTTACTTCTGATTAATGAAGAATGCCTGGCTATGTTGTTGACCTGTAGCAGTGGATGAGCTGGATTTGGGGCAGGGCAATACTGATGATTTTTATTTTAAAAAGCTCTACTACATCTTACCATGGAGGATGGGGTAAAGCTTGGTAGCTGTCACACATTCCCCATAATATCTTTTGGAGGCCTGAGCAAACATGCTAACAATAAACTGAAGAGATAGGCTAATAGAACTGTCTCCCAAGAGTTACAGATAATGTGATGCAAGTATTATTCCCTTGGATTTTCATGCTCATTTTGTTTGTTCCATTATGATCTCTTGCCAAGCAGAGTTTTCTGAAGGCTTTCGAAGTTCATAGCAAGACAGAGGAAGAAGCGAACTATGAGCTATAAACATACATGAATGAGAAAGCACCAAAGATGTCCTTGTCCAGAAAATGTAACCCTTAAAATTCCCAGGGTGCCTTATTTCTATATCAAGAAATGCAAACGTATTTGTCTAGAACCAAGCACATAGTCCAAGTGCCTTGGAAGTTCTCAGCCAGCTCCCTCCTGGGTACCAAGATTTAGGAATTCTAATCTGATGATGTCTAAGCTTTGCCAGACACCCGTCTTCACCTTTTCACTTGGCGTGGGGTGCAGCGCTGTTGGCTGTGTAGAAAAAGAAAGAATTAGCAACAAGCTGAATGACCGCTGATTTTTAGTGCCATAGTGGCTATCAGCTTTCCTTCATTTATTGACTAGGTTTTGGAGAGCTCTGTGATCTTTGCTGAGAAAGAAGATGACTGCAAGACATACACAGACTGGTCAACATTTAAGGGAAGAAAGGATTTCAGTTCCAGAAGCATTATGGGTTGTTAGAACTGGCCAAGTCTTAATCGAAATACCTTTTCTGTGATGTATTTTATGAGTACATGGTGTTGTGGTTTAGAACATTTTCATTTTTAGACACACAAACAGCTTTGCAGATTAAATGTGAAAAGGCAACATCGTCTATAGAATCTGAATATCCTATATTTCACATAGATACTGGCATATCACATATAGCAGTTGAGTTTATTTCTTAGTTTAAATGACGGGACATCTCAAGAAATCCCACTAAAATAAATGTACATAACCAGAAAACATGCATATTATGGCCAATTTACAGGGACAGTTTCTTAGCTTTTGCTGGTAGACTCCAATTCTTATTACAGTCTTGGAATGATTGGTTCAGGAGTGAAAACTATGAGTTATTTTGACTGGAAGTTGGAGAGACTTAGAAGTATAAGTAGCTCACATAATAACTCACACACTTGATCCATCTAATCTAGTATGACCAACTCTGACTGGCAGCAGCTCTTTTAGGCTGGATTTTTTTCCTAGCTCTGACTGGCAATCCTTGATATTACCCGTGGTTCTACCTCAAAATATTAACCAGGCCCAACTCTGCTTAGTTTCCAAAATCAGACCAGATCCAATTTGCTCAGGGTGGTGAGAACCTTGTTATGAGTCTGTTTAAGACATGTTTAATCTGTTTTGATGTCCATTGACTATTGTTATGATTTTTAACAGTTTCACTATTTTGTTTTTAGTGAAATTTCTTAGCTGTCTTGACTATTTTTTAAAAATGGAAAGGTGGGATGAAAATAAGGAATATGGAATATGTTCCTTATTAAAGACAATTTTTAAACCACTGATTGTGCAGAGATGACATCCATGATATTTTGAGATAAAATCATCTCCATTTGCAATTCAACTGCTTGACAAACAGACAAGTGAATCACAAATTAAGAGTACTGTAACATTACAATAGAGGGTGTGCGCATATTTAAAATTATTCTTTCATGCTACTCTCTTCAAGGACAGAGTAGCATGAGAGGGGCTTGGGCATATTAACCACAAAAATATTATGAAGATCTTGTTAGGCAAATTTTTTTTTAAAAAAAGCAATGTATTTCTGTTAGTCATTATAATGTTTAGGTAAAGGTAAAGGTTCCCCTTGACAATTTTTGTTCGACTCTAGGGGGCGGTGCTCATCCCCGCTTCCAAGCCATAGAGCCAGCGTTTTGTCTGAAGACAATCTTCCGTGGTCACATGGCCAGTGCGACTTAGACACGGAACGCTGTTACCTTCCCACCGAGGTGGTCCTTATTTATCTACTTGCATTTGCATGCTTTCGAACTGCTAGGTTGGCAGGAGATTATAAGGTTTAAGAAGCAGCAAATTGTCATTACTCGTTTTTGGTGCTACTAGCAGTAGCAGATTTCTAGTATTTAAAGAGCTCTTGCTCCGGTTTTGTGTTGTGCACAACCTACAGGCAAGGGGAGAGTACTGTGCACAAGCAGACACTGAAGCCAGAATGCTTTAATTAAGAGCAATCTGCTGATGGCAGCAATGTTACCCCCATTGCACCACTGTAGTTGTGCAACAGGATTCTGGCCAATGATGAAAAAGGTAACTGTTTACATTACTTTTTGTGTTGTTCATTACTTTTTCATTTCTTTCTGTTACTTTTGAAAAAAAAAACATGTTTGTTAAGAGAATGACACAAACTTTGCTTAGAAGTAACTAGGAAGTGTTACTATTTACAGCAGTGAGTAATTTTGTTCCTGCCTACAGCAATACTTTTGAAATATGATTTTGTTAACCCTCATTATTCCAAAAGTAACAAATTATAACCAGAAACAGACATACAGTAGTTACTTATATTTTCCATGTTTATCAATTTCTGTGCCTGACTTTTGCTTTTCTTTCCTTTCCTTTGTTTCAACCTACACCCCTACACCCTACAGGAAGGAAAACAGAATTCTTCTGGTGACGCAGTTATGTACTTGGACAGCAAAGAGGATAGTGCAATCTCCAGAAGAGTAGATATGGAGCTGACCCAGGCCTCTGGCCCCCAGCATGTGGATTTGCTTAGAGCAGTGGAACCTATTTCCAGCAATTTTAACGAATTGAATCTGTTGAAGGAGATGATGGCTGTTCAGAGAGAAGTCCAAAAGCCCTACCCAAACAATGCACCAGAAACAGATAGTCACATCACACTGGAGAAAGATTTTAGCCCTCTCACCATGCAAGAGAGGTAAGAGAAACAAGACCAAACAGAATCTGTTTCTTCTGATATATGTTTGCTTTATATTCTCTGACTCAATTTATAATTGATAAATGTTTTATTTAATCTCATTCTGCAACATAAGGAGCAGAAAGGAATCTTGTGGAAAACTCATTAGCCAGTTGCTGGAGACGGCAATTTTCTTAGAAGATTACAAAAGTAATATTTATTTTTATAGCCACAATGCATGCTGTATTTTCCCAAGTTTTTGTTTCCTTTATTGACTTTCCATTAAAGCAAAATGCACCCAGAACAACAACAACAAAATTTACTTTTGGATTGATTGAATGATACAAAGATTGCCAAACTACATCAGAAGTTTATGTTAAAGAAAAAAAACGTTTTAGTGCTAACCAGCTGTTTTGGATGCATAAAAGTGATGCATAATGAAATTTTGGATACGTTTGCTCATTCAAGGCTCAATTATTTGGAATGAACAGAGGTGATGAGACTGACACATACCAGTTTATTGTATTAGATCCAGGCCTCACCATTCCCATCTCTTTGTATCTTCCTCAAAAGAGTACTGTTGACATCAGCCCAAAGTATATAATGGTTCCCAAAACCTTCTGTTGGTTTGGAATAAAAGTATATGGCATCAGAAAAATTCTTGTAGAAAGGGAAGAGTTTCAGTTTCTCCATGCGAATGTTGCATTTTCTCCAACATTGAATACTTTTTCTGACACATTGGCCTCTATCAGCTTTTTCAGGCTCTCCTGCTCATCTGCCCTGAGATCTTTTGGTACAAGATGGGATAAAAATATCATGAGAGCCACAGGAATAAGCACATGGAGTTTATGATGTGTAGTGAATAGAATGATGGCCTAAGATACAGGAGACCCGGGTTCAAACCCCACCTTTGATCAAGAAAAAGCTGTAGGGGTGCTAATGGTAAAACCACTCCTTAAATATTTGATATTCCTTGAAAACCCAACTATAGTGGTGCCCCGCATAGCGACGTTAATCCGTTCCGGATTAATCGTTGCTATCCAGAAACATTGCTAAACAAAACTAAAAACCCCATAGGAACGCATTAAACTTTGTTTAATGTGTTCCTATGGGGCCCAAACTCACTGTTCAGCGAAGATCCTCCATAGCGCCGCCATTTTCGCTGCCTCGGTAAGCGAGGGCAGCGCGCGAAAATGCTTGCGGTGGCCATTTTGGGCACCTGGCGGCCATTTTGGAACAGCCGATCAGCTGTTCTAAAAACATCGCAATGCGAAGATCGGTAAGCAAAACGCTTACCAATCATCACACTGCGATGTTTGCCCATTCAGAACATTGCAATGCAATCGCATTAGCGATCCCAAAAGAATAGATCGCTATGTGGATTCGTCATTAAACGGTGTACTCGTTATGCGAGGCACCACTGTATATATAAATGGCCAACAGGCACCATAAATTTACAGGAAGGGAACAATTTCTTTAATAATTGTTACTTCTCTGGAAAGAGAAATGATGTATAAGATTATAGTTTTGATGGTAAAAAAAGTACTTGCTCATTCAGAATTCAGTCACTTAAGGCAATGAGCATCTGTGGGGATGTATTTAGTGGTTTTCACTGCTATATGAGCGAACTGAGAAGGATTTCAACTGAACTGAATGCCATCTGCATAATACTGATAATGTATGTATGTAAGTATGTACGTATGTATGTAGTTTTGCACAGCTTTCCACAAATATTTTACTGTGCTGTCGACTTTTATCTAGTAAAATGCTGTTGAGTTATGAAGCATTTGCTGAACAGCATTCTCCTCATTTGATCTCTTACTCATTTTGTATACTTTGCTGGTATGTTTGCATTTTTCAATGCTCTCCGTTGAAACTCCAGGCAGATGCAACTTTCTGCAGAAGAGTTGGAACCCAATAATTTTAAGATATTCTGCAAAAATAATTTATTTGCTTTGTGGCCATTTGGGAGAAATTCAGAGATTATATGAGAGAATAAAATATTTATTGCTTTAATTTGATGGTTTGCTGAGCCTACATGTTTCCTGTATGGATTTTTAATTCTTCAGTGTCTTCATGTACAAATAATAGCTTCTCTAAGAAATAGATTTTCGGGCAGGCTTATCCTCTTTTCTTTCTGAAACATTGTGGGACTAGAACAACAACAACTGAATGCTGGAATTGACACAGAAGCAGAGAAATGCAATTCTTAACAGCAGGCACTTTGATTTATATGTTTGATTTAAACTTCTAGTTTACCACACTTCTTGAGAACAAGGCTATCAAAGTTTCTGGGTATGGTAGTGATATCACAGAATCATAGAACAGTGACGTTAGTTGTCGTATAGTCATTTAGTCTTGTCCGATTCTTCGTGACCCCATGGACCAGAGCACGCCAGGCGCTCCTGTCTTCCACTGCCTCCCAGAGTTGGATCAAATTCATGTTGGATTCTTCGATAACGCTTCAGGATCTGTCCTTCCAGTGAGCACTCAGGATTGATTTCCTTCAAAATGGATAGGTTTGTTCTCCTTCTCCAGGGGACTCTCAAGAGCCTCCTCCAGCATCACAATTCAAAAGCATCAATTCTTTGGCGGTCAGCCTTCTTTATGATCCACCTCTCACTTCCATACATTGCTACTGGAAAAACCAGACAATGCGGAACTTTGTTGGCAAGGTGATGTCTCTGCTTTTTAAGATGCTGTTTGTCATCGCTTTCCTCCCAAGAAGCAGGCATCTGTTAATTTCATGGCTGCTGTCACCATCTGTACTGATCATGGAGCCCAAGAAAGTAAAATCTGTCACTACCTCCATATCTTCCCCTTCTATTTGCCAGGAGGTAATGGGACCAGTGGCCACGATCTTAGTTTTTTTGTTGTTGAGTTTCAGACCATTTTTGCGCTGTCCTCGTTAGAAAGGGTCTATAAGGCCATCAAGTCCATATGTTATCTCCTGTTGTAGTGGCACTATGTCTCTAGTTACTGATTGCTGCGGCATAACAGCAAGTGAATGCTATTGCCCCCATCCTCTGCTTGCAGGTTTCCCAAAGGCATTTGGTTGGCCATTGTTGGAAGAAGTACACTGGATGAAGTAGCTTCTTTGTACATTATTCTTCTGTTGTAATTTCTAACTAGGTAATCCCTCTCTTAAGCATCCATAGAGGTCCAGCATTTTCCCGGGTTTCACTACATGGTTTCACTACATGATTCTAAGGTTGAAGAATCAGCTGCAGCTATCTGGCAGCTATTTGTATGCCTTGTCGTGTGACAGTGATCTCACTAAATGGCTACTGCTGAGACTTTACTTCTGAGTTTGCTAAAACCCTGAGAGATACTGACCTTCATGTTTAACAGGCTCTGGACTTGTCTGTTCATTGGGATAGGCACATGGAGCTGATGCTGTGGTGCCATAATTACTCAGTTCCATCACTAAATCATGATATCATGGTATGGGCATATGATCTGACATGTAAGATTCTATGTGGTTGATACTGCTAAGCTGTGGAAGTCTTGTATCAGCATGTGCTTTCATGTAAGCAGATCTTAGGAATTTACTTTTAAGTAAAACAAATATAACGATATGCTGGAGCCATTCATAAGTGAGCAGGTTATGGTGTTCAGAATCCAGAGCATCATCTGATAACTGCTTGGTTGTGGATGGCTTCAGTGCATTATTACATTCATTGCTCTGAAAGTAATTCCCAAGTTTGCATCACTTAATCCCCCATTTAATCCCTTTATATCAGCTCATTAATTTATGGTAATATATGGAAGTTCAGGAGGAACTAGTGTGAAGCTAGAGGTGGGATCTGTAACATGGTCCTAGTCCATGATTGTCATGTAGCTAATCTCTTATATGATTCACACATGAAAGGGGCTACCAGGCTGATGGAAAATTTTGTCCAGTCAGTCATCTCTCATGGATTACTAATGCAGATTATGAGTTCATAAAGGGCAGAATTCTATTGTCTTCTGTGATCATGTAAGGCCTAAAAGGCAAGTATTGTTCTTGGGGAGTAAAAATGATGGATAAAAACATCAATTATTTAAAATATGCAGATGATATCATATTACAAGTGAAATTGGAATGATTTGAATAACTGATAAAGGTGAAAGAAGAAAGTGCAAAAGCAGGATTATAGTTCAAAAGATGTAAATAATGACTAGAGAAGGATTACGTAACATTAATATTGACAAGGAAGAAATTAAAATAATTTGATTGTCTGTGTCATGGTTCAGTCACTAATCAAAATGAAGTCTGTAGTTAAGAAATCAGAAGAAGAGTGAGATTTGGAAGAGCATCTTTGAAGGAATGAGGAAAGATCTTCAAGTATTAGGATGTATAAATGGAGATCAACATTGGGATCATTCATATGTTGGTCTTCCCAATTTTGTTTTGTATATGTTAAAGCTGGATATTAACGAAAACTGAAAGGAAAAAGAAAATCAGTTAATTTAAACTGGGGGGTGGTGGACAGCTTTACAGATACTATACCTCACCAGAAAGTCAAGTAAATGGGATCTAAAACAAATTAAATGTGAACTCTGTCTAGAAGCTAAAATAACTTGAGGCCATTACACTTTGGATATGTGTTTCATGAGAAGTGAAGACTCACTGGTAAAGACAATAATGTTAGGAGAAATGGAAACCAACAGGAAAAGAAGAAACCAATGAGATGGATTTATGCAATAAGGAAGCCCATGTTCTTTAGCTTGCAAGGTCTAAGCAGGACTGTTAATAATGGAATATTTTTGAAGGTCATTAATTAATTTGGCCACCATAAATCTTGATGGAACATAAGAACAACCTATGTTGTTCAACTACGTGAACAAATGATTGATGCTCAGTGAGCGAAAGAGGAAAGCTGCTCACATAACTGCCCTTATGTAAGTGGTTTCCTTAACAGGTTTTTGGACCAGTGAGTAATATGGGGATGGTTTTTGACTTGATAAGGCCTTTAGTCTGTATCATATATATACAGTATGTGGGAAGGGAATAACATCTTTATTAATAAAAACAACCA